TCAAATGCAATTTTTTTTTTCTGTAAAAAAATACACTTTAGCAAATTACAAATAAAAAAAAAAAAAACACAATATATACCCCAATTTGTAAAATATGAAAGAGGATGTTATGGCGAGTAAATAGATACCCAACATGTCACGCGCTAAAATTACGCACGCTTGTGGAAAGGCGGCAAGCTAGAAAATTACTTATAACCCCCAAACATTATATTTTTTTTTATGACACCCAACCATTATTTTTATATATATATATATATATATATATATATATATATATATATATATATTTTTTTTTTTTTTTTTTTTTTTGAAGAATAGAGCATGAAATGGCGATCGTTGTAATTTTTTATGTCACGCGGTATTTGCGCAACTATTTTTCAAATGCAATTTTTTTTTTCTGTAAAAAAAATACACTTTAGCAAATTACAAAAAACAAAACAAAAAAAAAAAAAAAACAAACCACAATATATACCCCAATTTGTAAAATATGAAAGAGGATGTTATGGCGAGTAAATAGATACCCAACATGTCATGCGCTAAAATTACGCACGCTTGTGGAATGGCGGCAAGCTAGAAAATTACTTATAACCCCCAAACATTATATTTTTTTTAATAACACCCAACCATTATTTTTTATATATATATATATATATATATATATATATATATATATATATATAAAATTTATTAATTTTTTTTTTTTGAAGAATAGACTCTAGGGAATGAAATGGCGATCGTTGTAATTTTTTATGTCACGCGGTATTTGCGCAGCTATTTTTCAAATGCAATTTTTTTTTCTGTAAAAAAATACACTTTAGCAAATTACAAATAACAAAACAAAAAAAAAAAAACACAATATATACCCCAATTTGTAAAATATGAAAGAGGATGTTACGGCGAGTAAATAGATACCCAACATGTCACGCGCTAAAATTACGCACGCTTGTGGAATGGCGGCAAGCTAGAAAATTACTTATAACCCCCAAACATTTTATTTTTTTTTATGACACCCAACCATTATTTTATATATATATATATATATATACCGGTATATATATATATATATATTTTTTTTTTTTTTTTGAAGAATAGAGCATGAAATGGCGATCGTTGTAATTTTTTATGTCACGCGGTATTTGTGCAGCTATTTTTCCAATGCAATTTTTTTTTTCTGTAAAAAAATACACTTTAGCAAATTACAAAAAAAAAAAAAAAAAAAAAAAAAAAAACACAATATATACCCCAATTTGTAAAATATGAAAGAGGATGTTACGGCGAGTAAATAGATACCCAACATGTCACGCGCTAAAATTACGCACGCTTGTGGAGAGGCGGCAAGCTAGAAAATTACTTATAACCCCCAAACATTATATTTTTTTTATGACACCCAACCATTATTTATATATATATATTTATTTATTTTTGAAGAATAGAGAATGAAATGGCGATCGTTGTAATTTTTTATGTCACGCGGTATTTGCGCAGCTATTTTTCAAATGCACTTTTTTTTTTCTGTAAAAAAAAATACACTTTAGCAAATTACAAAAAAAACAAAACAAAAAAAAAAGACAAATATATACCCCAATTTGTAAAATATGAAAGAGGATGTTATGGCGAGTAAATAGATACCCAACATGTCACGCGCTAAAATTACATACGGTCGTGGAATGGCGGCAAGCTAGAAAATAACCCCCAAAAATTACATATTTTTTTTATGACACCCAACCATTATATATATATATATATATATATATATATTTTTATTTTTTTTTTTAAGAATAGACTCTAGAGAATGAAATGGCGATCGTTGTGTTTATGTCACGCGGTATTTGCGCAGTGGTTTTTCAAATGCAACTTTTTTTTGGAAAAAAAAATACACTTTAGCAAATTTAAAAAAAAACAATGTATATCCAGTTTTTTTTGTAAAATATGAAAGAGGATGTGACGGCGAGTAAATAGATACCAAACATGTCACGCGGTAAAATTATGCACACTTGTGGAATGGCGGCAAAGTAGGGTACTTAAAAATATCCATATAATTGAATAGATCAGAATAAAATAGAACGAATATAACGATCTTCCGAAATTTGAATATACAGTCATGGCCGAAATTGTTGGCACCCTTGATATTTTTCCTGAAAATCAAGTATTTCACACAAAAAAGGTATTGCATTAACACATGTTTTGCTATACACATGTTTATTCCCTTTGTATGTATTGGAACAAATATAAAACAGAGGCAGAAAAGCAAATATGACATAATGTCACACAAAACCCCAAAAATGGGCTGGACAAAAGTATTGGCACCCTTAACTTAATATTTGGTTGCACACCCTTTGGAAAACATAACTGAAATCAGTCGCTTCCTATAACCATCAATAAGCTTCTGACACCTCTCACCCGGAATTTTGGACCACTCTTCCTTTGCAAACAGCTCCAGGTCTCTCTTATTGGAAGGACACCTTTTCCCAACAGCAATTTTAAGATCTCTCCACAGGTGTTCAATGGGATTTAGATCTGGGCTCATTGCTGGCCACTTCAGAACTCTCCAGCGCTTCTTTGCCATCCATTTCTGAGTGCTTTTTGACGTATGTTTGGGGTCATTGTCCTGCTGGAAGACCCAGGATCTTGGACGCAAACCCAGCTTTCTGACACTGGGCCCTACAGTGCGACCCAAAATCCTTTGGTAATCCTCAGATTTCATGATGCCTTGCACACAGTCAAGGCACCCAGTGCCAGAGGCAGCAAAACAACCCCAAAACATCATTGAACCTCCACCATATTTTACCGTAGGTACTGTGTTTTGTTCTTTGTAGGCCTCATTCCGTTTTCGGTAAACAGTAGAATGATGTGCTTTACCGAAAAGCTCTATCTTGGTCTCATCTGTCCACAAGACGTTTTCCCAGAAGGCTTTTGGCTTACTCAAGTACATTTTGGCAAACTGTAGTCTTGCTTTTTTATGTCTCTGTGTCAGCAGTGGGGTCCTCCTGGGTCTCCTGCCATAGCGTTTCATTTCATTTAAATGTCGACGGATAGTTCGCGCTGACACTGATGCTCCCTGAGCCTGCAGGACAGCTTGAATGTCTTTGGAACATGTTTGGGGCTGCTTATCCACCATCCGGACTATTCTGCGTTGCAATCTTTCATCAATTTTCCTCATCCGTCCACGACCAGGGAGATTAGCTACAGTGCCATGGGTTGCAAACTTCTTGATAATGTTGCGCACTGTGGACAAAGGCAAATCTAGTTCTCTGGAGATGGACTTGTAACCTTGAGATTGTTGATATTTTGCCACAATTTTGGTTCTCAGGTCCTCAGACAGTTCTCGTCTCCTCTTTCTGTTGTCCATGCTTAGTGTGGCACAGACAGACACACAATGCAAAGGTTAAGTGAACGTCTCTCCTTTTTATCTGCTTTCAGGTGTGATTTCTATATTGCCCACACCTGTTACTTGCCCCAGGTGAGTTTACAGGAGCATCACATGCTTGTAACATTCTTATTTATCCGCAGTTGTGAAAGGGTGCCAATACTTTTGTCCAGCCCATTTTTGGAGGTTTGTGTGACATTATGTCGAATTTGCTTTCTTTCCTCCTTTTTTTGTTTTGTCCCAATACACACAAAGGGAAATAAACATGTGTATAGCAAAACATGTGTTAATGCAATACGTTTCGTGAGAAATACATGATTTCCTGGAGAAATATCAAGGGTGCCAACAATTTCGGCCATGACTGTAATATATTCCAATCTGAATAGATTAGAAAAAAATAGAAAATAAGAGAATAGAATAAGCAAAAAAAAAAAATAGATCAGAATAAAATAGAAAGAATATAACTATCTTCCGAAATGTGAATAGAAGACATTCCAATCTGAATAGATTAGATTAGAAAAGAATACAATAGAAAATAGAAAATAAGAGAAAAATAGAAAAAGCAAAAAAAAAAAATAAAATATAGAATAGTTCAGAATAAAACAGACAGAATATAACCATCTTCCGGAATTCGAATTTCAAATAAAATAAATTAGAATTCAAATGCCGATTCGAAATGTCTGAAGTCGGTCGAAAGGAGTTAGAAAATAATCGCATCGAAAACGAAACAAATTAAACTAAATGAAATTATTTAAATGCCCAACTGAAACAAAACAATTTTTTTTTTCGTCCTGCACGTGTCAAAATTCCTGTAAACCTCCAAAAAATAAAATACATACACATACATACATACATACACACACATACATACATACACACACATACATACATACATACACATACATACATACATACATACACATACATACATACATACACATACATACATACATACACACACACACATACATACACACACATACATACACATACATACATACACATACATACATACACATACATACATACATACACATACATACACATACATCACATACATACATACACATACATACATACACACACACACATACATACATACACACACATACATACATACACACACATACATACATACACATACATACATACATACACATACACATACATACATACATACATACATACATACATACATACACATACACATACATACACATACATACACATACATACATACATACACACATACACATACATACATACATACACATACATACATACATACACATACACATACATACATACACATACATACATACACATACACATACATACATACCAAAATCCCAATCCATTCCGAAGTCCATTGTTGTAATTAAGCAAAATCTTTACACAGCTGAAAGCGGAGATCAGGCTTGCAGTGGGCGTGGCTGCTCTGTAAGCTGAGGGGGAGGGACTAGCAAAAGCAAGAGAGCTCAATATGGGTGACAGGGATGGAGAGCTGTTTGCTTCCAGCCCTCCTCCCACCCCCCCCAAAAAAAGGAGGGGGCAGGGCAGTGACACCATGCCTGCAGAATGGCCGATCTAAAATGCGTAGTCACCTCCTTTCATTCAGCACGGCGGAGGGACACACAGGTGTCAAACTGGTGTCCCTCCAGCTGCTGCCAAACTACAAGTCCCATGAGGCATTGCAGGATTGACAGTTGCAAGCATGACTCCCAAAGGCAGAAGCTTGATGGGACTTGTAGTTTGGCAACAGCTGGAGGGACACCAGTTTGAGACCCCTGACCTACGGGGTTTCCAAACTATGGCCCTGCAGGTGTTGAGGAACTACAAGTCCCATGAGGCATTGCAGGATTGACAGTTACAAGCATGACTCCCAAAGGCAGAGGCATGATGGGACTTGTAGTTCCTCAACAGCTGGAGGGCTGTCAGTTTGAGACCCCTGACCTACGGGGTCTCCAAACTATGGCCCTGCAGGCGTTGAGGAACTACAAGTCCCATGAGGCTTTGCAGGATTGACAAAGGCAGAGGCATGATGGGACTTGTAGTTTGGCAACAGCTAGAGGGCCGCCGGTTTGACCCCCCCCCGGCCGTAGAGGATCTTCAGGGCTCTGACCACACACGATCTCCGTCCTGCAGACCCTCCAGATCTTCCTCAGCTTCCCAGGCCGAAAATTTCACTCCGAATTCCCATCAGCAGCTCCGCCCTCCCGCCGAGACCGGTCCGAACTTCTCCCGCACAGCCCGCCGTCGCTGTTCTCCAGCTCCTGAACCCCTCCTGAACTCTGTGTGTTGCCCCCTCCCCCACCTACCTTGTGTTTGCCGCTGGTCATCTTCTTGATGAAGCTCAGGGTCCTCCCGAAGGGGGAATCCTCCTTCAATCTGTTCTCCTTCTCGTCTGCCTCCAGCGCGTCGATCTCCCCGCAGCTCACGGCGCTCAGCCTGGGGGAGGGACAAGGGGTCAAACCAAGAAATCGACAAGCAGTTCCGTCTCGAAGAAATTGGTATGAAAAAGGGGATCGACCGCGGATAGAGTCACATGACCGATCCCAGCGCCATAAAACCACCGTATCTTCCCAACGTCGACTCCCTCCCGGTGCAGGAAACCCGAGGACATGGCTGGGGATGCCACCATTGTAACCGACCCGAGGGCACCGTGGGATAGGAAGGCCATTACAGGAGCAAGGGGGGCGAGCACCACAGCAAGTCCCGCCCAGGAGGATCTACTTTTACCCCCCCAGTTTCAGAAATTGATGGCGGAGTGCAGGGATTGGACACTTACCCGTTGCTCATGCGTTGTCCATGAGAGTAGAGAGACACATCTGTGGGGAGGACAAAATTGGGTATTTTAGACATCTGAACGTCAGAGACGGGTCACACACAGGTCAATCGATGGACAATATCAGCGGGAGGAGCCAAATATCCCATCACCCATATCTACTACTGGAGGGGTATAAGGGAGCAAGAATCAGAACCTCCTGCTGGGGACCCCTCTAGGTCTGTATAGAGGAATCAGGGCCTCCTTCCTCCTGCTGGTGACCCCTCTAGGTCTGTATAGAGGAATCAGGGCCTCCTTCCTCCTGCTGGTGACCCCTCTAGGTCTATATAGAGGAATCAGGGCCTCCTTCCTCCTGCTGGTGACCCCTCTAGGTCTATATAGAGGAATCGGGACCTCCTTCCTCCTGGTGGTGACCCCTCTAGGTCTATATAGAGGAAAAGGGACCTCCTTCCTCCTGCCGGTGACTCCTCTAGGTCTATATAGAGGAAAAGGGACCTTTCCGCCTCCTGCTGGTGACCCCTCTAGGTCTGTATAGAGGAAAAGGGACCTCCTTCCTCCTCCTGGTGACCCCTCTAGGTCTGTATAGAGGAAAAGGGACCTCCTTCCTCCTGCTGGTGACTCCTCTAGGTCTGTATAGAGGAATCAGGACCTCCTTTCTCCTGCCGGTGACTCCTCTAGGTCTATATAGAGGAATCAGGACCTCCTTCCTCCTGCCGGTGACCCCTCTAGGTCTATATAGAGGAATCAGGACCTCCTTCCTCCTGCCGGTGACCCCTCTAGGTCTATATAGAGGAATCAGGACCTCCTTCTCCTGCCGGTGACCCCTCTAGGTCTATATAGAGGAATTAGGACCTCCTTCCTCCTGCCGGTGACCCCTCTAGGTCTATATAGAGGAATTAGGACCTCCTTCCTCCTGCCGGTGACCCCTCTAGGTCTATATAGAGGAATCAGGACCGCCTTCCTCCTGCTGGTAACCCCTTAGTGATATAAAGGTCTATATAGAGGAATCAGGACCTCCTTCCTCCTGCCAGTGACCCCTCTAGTGATAGGATCTATATAGAGGAATCAGGACCTCCTTCCTCCTGCCGGTGACCCCTCTAGGTCTATATAGAGGAATCAGGACCTCCTTTCTCCTGCCGGTGACCCCTCTAGGTCTATATAGAGGAAATAGGACCTCCTTCCTCCTGCCGGTGACCCCTCTAGGTCTATATAGAGGAATCAGGACCACCTTCCTCCTGCTGGTAACCCCTCTAGGTCTATATAGAGAAATCAGGACCTCCTTTCTCCTGCCGGTGACCCCTCTAGGTCTATATAGAGGAATTAGGACCTCCTTCCTCCTGCCGGTGACCCCTCTAGGTCTATATAGAGGAATCAGGACCGCCTTCCTCCTGCTGGTAACCCCTTAGTGATATAAAGGTCTATATAGAGGAATCAGGACCTCCTTCCTCCTGCCAGTGACCCCTCTAGTGATAGGATCTATATAGAGGAATCAGGACCTCCTTCCTCCTGCTGGTGACTCCTCTAGGTCTATATAGAGGAATTGGGACCTCCTTCCTCCTGCTGGTGACCCCACTAGGTCTATATAGAAGAATCAGGACCTCCTTCCTCCTGCCGGTGACCCCCTCTAGTGATATAAAGATCTATATAGAGGAATCAGGACCTCCTTCCTCCTGCCGGTGACCCCTCTAGTGATATAAAGATCTATATAGAGGAATCAGGACCTCCTTCCTCCTGCCGGTGACCCCTCTAGGTCTATATAGGGAATCGGGCCCTGCTTCCTCCTGCCGGTGACCCCTCTAGTGATACAAAGATTTATATATCCTCCATGGTGGTTGAACAGCAATGGCTACCATTGGCCTTCAGGAAGGGTCCTCCTTTAAGCGCCCCCTCACATGGTTGCACATCTGTGGTCTCAGAAGGGTCAAACATGAACAGACCCAACCACGGGGACATCAGAACGGAAATCACAAAACGCTTCCTTTCAGAATGAGACAAAGCCAGGACAGGACACTGCCATACAGTGTAGTAGGACAACAGCTCCCTCTAGTGGACAGGAAGTGTCAGGTCACTTTATAAAGTACATTGGAACTTGAGTGGACTTGAGGGAACCGAAAAAATGACGGGGAAAATCCAACGTGAGCAAACGCGTCCTTATGACTTCTATGGGCGGAGCTTATTGTAATGTGATGTTGACTGATGGACTCTGGATGCGTTGGTGGTCTCATCAGTCTGGAGGAGCGGGTGTTGCTAGGAAGGCAAGGAACTATTTGTGAGTGATCGGCTCTTGGTCAGGCAGAGGATGCGGCATCTTTGAGATCATGGAGGCCTCTCGGCTCCGACTCCCAGCTCCGGAGTTGTCTATCGGCAAGCCCAACAAGGAGCCAAAAGATAAAAATTTCATAGACAAACCCTCACAATTCTAATAAATAGAAATGAACATTCACAGTACTGAACAGGCTGGCCAGAACCGGCCTACTTTATGGAAGTGCTACAACCTTGAAACCCCACCCCAAAAAAATTGGGGGTACCTTGAGGTCAGCATGTCAGAGAAAGCCACAACGTGCTGACCTCAAGGTACCTCCAGATGTGATGATGTGACGTTCTAGATGTGATGATGTGACGTTCTAGATGTGACGTTCTAGATGTGATGTTCTGGATGTGATGATTATATAAATGACCCCTCACCATCCATGCGTTGTACCCTACTGGAGACTGAGCACGCCAGCGGCGCCGGCACTCACCGTCGGGGTAGCAGTGGTCGATCCCGGTCATGGAGACGGATTTGGAGAGCGGGTTGTACAGGTAGTTCTGGAGGACAGGTAGGCGCGCAGCTTCTTGGCGTGTTCCTGAAAAATGTCTCTGGGCCCCTGAGGTTTGAGGGCCCTGACCTAAAGGCTTCCTCCCCTTATCAAGCCACTGTGGGATAGACCCTGGGCTCCTGAGATCAAAAAGGGACCCTGGGCTCCTGAGATCATAAAGAGGTTAGGGTTGCAGAGGAAACAGAGAGTGACCCAGGGTATGGCTGTCTCTGGGCCCAGACCCTGAGGTGAAATTGAGGGCCCTGAGATGACCTAAAGGCTTCCTCCCCTTATCAAAAAGCCACTGTGGGGGATAGACCCTGGGCTCCTGAGATCAAAAAGCCTCAACCTCCAGGAATAGACCCTGGGCTCCTGAGATCAAAAAGCCTCAGCCTCCAGGAATAGACCCTGGGCTCCTGAGATCAAAAAGCCTCAACCTCCAGGAATAGACCCTGGGTTCCTGAGATCAAAAAGCCTCAACCTCCAGGAATAGACCCTGGGCTCCTGAGATCAAAAAGCCTCTGGGCTCCTGGGCTCCTGATCAAAAAGCCTCAACCTCCAGGAATAGACCCTGGGCTCCTGAGATCAAAAAGCCTCAACCTCCAGGAACAGACCCTGGGCTCCTGAGATCAAAAAGCCTCAACCTCCAGCAACAGACCCTGGGCTCCTGAGATCAAAAAGCCTCAACCTCCCAGCAACAGACCCTGGGCTCCTGAGATCAAAAAGCCTCAACCTAACTGCGACATCCCTGTACCCATCCACTGTGGGGTCTTTTACATCCACTGTGGGGTATGGCTATCCCTGGGACCCTGAGGACAAAGGGCCCCAACCTAACTGTTCGAACCCCTTATCCATCTGCTGTGGACCGAATACACCTGAAAATGACCCTGGGCTCCTGACATCAAAGAGCCTCAACCTAACTGCGTCATCCCTGTATCCATCCACTGTGAAGCTATTACACCAGGTATGGCTATCCCTGGGGCCCCAAGGACAAAGTGCCCCGACCTAACTGTTCGAACCCCTTATCCATCTGCTGTGCGTCCAATACACTGGGAAATGACCCTGGGCTCCTGAGATCAAAGGGCTCCAACCTAACTGTTCGAACCCTTATCCATCTGCTATGGGCCCAATTCACTGGGAAATGACCCTGGGCTCCTGAGATCAAAGGGCTCCAACCTAACTGTTTGAACCCCTTTTCCATCTGCTGTGGGCCCAATACACCGGATAGTGACCCTGGGCTCCTGAGATCAAAGAGCCTCAACCTAACTGCGTCAACCCCATATCCATCCACTGTGGGTCTATTACACCAGGTAAGTCACCTTGGGTATGGCTGTCCCTGGGACTTTGAGGTCAAAGGGCCCAAACCTAATTGTTCCATCCATCCATTCACTCTGGGGTGACAACATCAAGTAATGCCCCTGAGCATGGCTGTCA